TGAGGCTGGAAAGAGCGGTGCGCATGCACAGGGCAAGCTCCCCACTTGAAAGCTTTGCGCCTTCTCGCCTGAAAGGCTGCAAATGAAGCCGACAGTGAATATCATCATGCCCCCCCCCCCCTCCCCCACCCCACCCCCCGACCCCCGCTTTAGAAGCAGGCAACATGAAAGCTTCGGGAGCACTGAACAACCTGAAAAGCCTGATAACATGTGGTAAGAACCCTGACAAGCCTGAAAACATGCATTTGGCATGGGGCCGCGAGAGGTTGCGTGAGCATAAATTACGTGTCTGTATGTGTATATATATATACATGTGTATATATATATATATATATGTATGTATATATGCATATATAAAGATGCATAGTAAGGGTTCAAGATTTAGGGTTTATGGGTTTAGGGTTCAAGGGTTCAGATTTCACGGTTTTGGGTTTAGGTTCAGGGGTCGTTGAGTTTGGGGCTTTAGAGGTTTAGGGTTTAGGGATATCTGCATAGAGAACTGCATAGAGAAAGTCGAACTTAAACACAATGGAAGTGCTTTGAGTTCTCAAGGCAAGCTTGGCCACTGTGGCGACCTCAGAGACTTCATGTCTTGAAGCTCATACGCCTAATAGGGCCCAAACCCTAAACCTGTCAACCCTAAACCCTGCCAGAAACCCTAAATCCTATGAGCCCCTAGCCCATGATATGATGTAGAAACCCCTCACTCATCCTAGGTCCACCCTAAGGCCCTAACCCCTAAACCCAAAACCCTAAGATTCTGCAGGGTGATGAAGGAATGAATGGTTCTTACTGACAGTTTCTCCTGAAAAGAAAGCCTGCAGTAATTTATCTAAATCCTACACCCTGAAGCCTTACCCCTAAACTCAACATTCAGAACCCCAAATCCTAAACTCTAAACCGAAGATGGGCTGCAAGTTCAGAATGCGGGAATAGCTGAATGCCTGTTGGCGTTCACCCGGTTGCTTTAGAAAAGCATTTGGGATCGGAGGCCTTAAATAAGGTGTACTTAGCACCCCCTGTTTAGGGTTTAGGGTTATATTATGGAGACCTTCAAAACCTCGGCACCGTGTAACCCATGCTTTGTGGCTTGGGGCATGAGAGTTTAGGTTTAGGAGGAACTTGGCGCCTTCGTAGACACGCCAGGTCAGGTTCACCAGTGCATAGCTTCCCTCAGCAGTCTCTTGCAAATCAAACCTCATAGGTGCATCTGAACGTAGGCTGTCGTAGAGCCAAGCCAGGAATACGATGTAAACGCTACAGGCATGGTAAAGTATCAGTTGATCCGATGTTCTCTCCACCTGTGCCACTGCACTCACGATGGCTGAGTCGTCGCCATCCAGGTGAAGCAAGTCCTAAACCCTCAAAGCCTAAACCCTAAAGCCCCAAAGGCCTAAAACCCTAAACCCTAAACATCCCTAGACCCTAAACTTCCTAAACCCTAAACCCAGGTCCTCGCCGTGAACTTTGTGCAAGTACGTGTCAATCGTCGCGTCGCTCTTCACGGGGTCGTGTCCTCAGGATCTTGATCCCCAAAACCCTGAAGCCTTTGGGTTTAGGGCAAAACCCTAAACCCTGAGCCCCTAAACCTAAAACTCCAAAACCCTATACCCTCAAACCCAGAACCTTAAACCCTAAACCCCTCAGACACAGAACCTTAAACCCGAAACCTAAAGCCCCAACACCCTATATCCTCAAACCCAGAACCTTAAACCCTAAACCCCAAAACCCTAGACCGTTACCATGTCCTGCGGATCTCAAGGCGCGCACAGCCTCCAGGTTCAGAAGCCAGGGGTCTGCGACAATTGGAAGGGCCCAACATCGCATCACTTAGGTACCAACAATTGAGCAGACTCAAACAAAACCTCAGGCTTGGAGCCCGTGGCTGCGTAGGTTTCTGGGGTTTGGGGTCTAGATGGGTCTAGAATTTTTTTTTGACCTCCTCTTTGCCAGGAGACCCACTGAACAGTTGCAGCGAGTATAGGGTCTAGGGTTTTAAGGTTTGGGGCTTAGGTTTAGAAACTCATTGTTCAGCAGCAGTTGGGTGTGTTTGAACCCCTATAGCAAGTTTAGAAAGCCTCATTGTGAGCAACGCCCATGTCGGACTCCATTTCCTGCACAATGTGCGTGGTAGTTTTCTACCATTGGAAGGCTACTTGAATAATGAGAACGAGCTTCTGTTTCAGTCTTGCTGTCAACATGCTTTACTCTCAAGCTTGGGCCCTAAATCCTAAACAAAAAACCCTAAACCCTCACAGGTGCCCTGGCCTGGTTGCGAATGCTGTTGCATTTCCCAGATCATGATGGGTTCTTTTGGTATAGGGCATTTAGGGTTTAGGGCTTTTGCACAAGTCACAATGTTCAGACTCTATAACTAGACAGTTTGCAGTATACAGCCAGGGGGCAAAACCCTCAGAATCACGATGCAATGCCAAACCTTCTTGCCTACATGCTGGTAACACCTTGAACCCAAAACCTAACAGTAACAGCCCACAACCCTAAACTCTAATCCAAAGCCCTAAACCCTAAACCTACATCCATAAGCTTCTGCTTCGCACCGGGGTCTAGGGTCGATTCCGGACTTGGCTAGAGCTTTAGGGGCCATACTTGTTGCTTGCTGCATTCAGGGTTTAGGGTTGCATGGGAGTTCTGATTGTTGAGCAAAGCGGCACAGCGGCCGGGTATGCTGCCCGCATACCTAGCAGCCTATCAAATTGCGTATCCCTGTTCGACGGAGCCCTCATAGGAACCCGAGGCTGGGGCTCCTGGGGTTGGATCTCCTTCTGCTATTGGAGTTCAAGGGTCGGGGTCTGAAAGCTCAGGCATTTGGTGAGGGGCGCTGGCGAGTTTTGCGTAGGGTGTGGCATGCACCGGAGCACCACTGGAGGCTCTCCAGTAGTCGAAATGCAGCAGCTTCAGTCATGTGGGCAGATGTGCGGAATCCGTATCGCCCTGCTTTTGCGCTCAGAGCTGTCAGATCCTGGCCCGATCGAACGGAACTGTGCATCGCCCGGTTCTGGCAGAACCCCAACGTAGCTACAGCTCTCATGGCCACTAGACAACTAGACAGACGTATGGCACCGCCGTTTTTCAAGTCCAAAAGGCCGCACATATCTCTGCCTTGTCTCGGGGCTCTTGGAGTGACCTAACAGCGGATTTTGCATTTGCAAAGGTCCTCCGGGGCCTACCGCCCCGTTTGCACAAGGACCAAGGAGCTTGCCTAAACTTGCGTGCAGTTATAGCCTTCACGGATGAAATGCACAGGTGGCTGAAGACCGTAAAGGCAGGCCATGCAGACGAAACTACAGGAAGTAGTTGCAGAAGGCCGGCGAGATGACTCACATGGCAGTTTTCATACGTCTGCACACACAAAATTCAAAATCTAACGGCCGGGCAACTACAGCAACTACCACCTTGTCATTGGATGCTGGAGGGGAATTGCCTTGGCGATTACCGATATGGGGATCATACTTTGCAGGTTAAGTCGCGGCGATGGTCCACACATCGGACTCTGATCGGAAATCCCAAATACATCTTTGTCCTTTAGTCACATTCACATGGCATAAGCCCGGCGAATGAACCTCAACAGCAATCCGACAACCTAGAACCTGTAATTGGATTGTATGCATTCCCCCATGCAACTACGTCGGTGCGTCAAAGACATCTCCTGAAACAGCTTGGCAAATCTCGAACAGACTCTGTGCTGTGGGGGAAGCGCGCCTAGCTTGCCTGTTCAGCGCTGTAAAGTCTGTACCGCTGGGTCGGCCATGTGCACGTCTGGGTCTGAGGGGTTTGCTCCACAAAAGGGTCCCCTTTTGCATGGTATGCCCCGGAAGGAGCGGGAGCCAGTCAAAAAGGACGCCCCAAAAGAGAGGAGCCATTTGTGAAATAGACACACCCCCTCTTCATGTGCACACATGTGGTCCCTGCGAGCAGTCACGGCTTCTCGAAGCCGCCAAAGCTGACAGAGCTCGGTACCTTCACATACCCTCATCATGCACTGGAGCCCTAAAGACATCTGACACTGCACCAAGACCTGCATGGTGTGCTCTTGTCAGAAATCCTGCAGTGTGAGAACGCTGAAAATCAGTGTTTTCAGGCTCCAGGCGAAGCGGGAACGAATTAACACAAGCGGCAAAAGCCGACGGGGCAAAAATGCTCTGAGAGCTCTCCAAATAAGACGCCGCAGGAATCCCAAGCCTTCCGGCTTTTCCACAGGACGACTCGAGACCACTGGGAAGACCTATCTATGCTGGAGTTTGGGGGAAGGCGCCCGGCTGCGGCGCACATGTCAACCTGCATCGGGAGGGCTTCCACTTACCGCTTTGTCGTTCGTCTGTGGAGAAGCACTCGGTTATCTTCAGACGATCAGAATCCTCGACGGTACGGACAATCCTACATGTCGCAGCAAGCCACACCACAACCTGCCGCGTAGAACATACAGACTCGCCCCTCCACCACGGACCCAACCCAAAAAGTTCCGTGCCACGGCCCGAATCGGCTTCTGATTCTCGCAGCTTGGGCCTTGGTCTAGGCCTCCACACCCAGGTAGCGGAGGCAGACGTACCCGGATGCCTGTGGTTCCCACTTAGAGACTTCGGAGGAAGGAAGGCGAGAGGAGAGGCGCTTTCCGAAATGCTTTGCTAGACACGCGAGCGCCCTCGAGTAGCGAGAGATCTGCAAGAACTGAATGCTGTGGTCCCCCCGAGCCGCTAACTTGACTCTAGCCTGAACTTCGTTTTAAAATTCATTGGTTGCGGCTAGCCAGACTTGGCTCGTTTGGAAGGTATAGAGGTCGTGGCGCCTATGCCGCTACGCTGTGCAGGCGAGTATCGCAGAACAGGAATCGCATGCAACCGACCAGTTTCACAAGGACCCTAAGGCACTCTAGATACTTTTATACAAGGCTCTGCAAATCAGGGTTCCTAACCTGTGAAGGTCAACACGGCTTGATGAATCAAGGTCCGGGGATTCTCACAATAGTATAACGATCAGGAACCCTACGAAATAACTTTTTTGAGCCTCTTTCTTAGTCCACAAGAAGCTGCTGAGCCGGCTGAGGGTGCCTCCCGGGAGGCCTGGATCCCCTCTGCACGGGTCCAAATCTCGCAGCGGCCGCCGGTGTGGTACTCGAGGCCCTGACCTCAAAGAACTTTCCAGCGCTCAGAAAATCCTTCACACAAACCAGTTTGGGAGTTCGGGCTTCAGATGACGTGGTAGGACTACGAGGCTTTATCGGAGGGTGGACTTCTAGTCTGCGGGGCTAGAGATTTAAGGCTCTACATGGTTGTAGGCTTCGCATGAGACCATGATTGTAGAATGAAGCACGGCGACGTTGCTGAACCTGGGCAAATCTGTCTTCGGGTGTTCCAAAATGGCTGCATTTTCGGCTTCCCAGCGCTTCGCCAAAGTGTGAAAGTCCTGATTCCGTGTCACCGAGGTTCGTCCTCAAGAGGCTGTTGAATCACGCCAACAGCGTGAAGAACAACAGCGGAGTGGACATGGCATATGCATTCGGCAGTTCCACTGCAGTTTGGACATCACACTTGCCCCTGCGGCTACGTTTACTTTGCGAGAAAGCAAACTTCACCGAACCAGCCAACAAAACAGCGCTGGTCTCCGACAAAGTGGCAGACTTCTGCCTGCATGCACTTGTACTTGCATCCTTCCAAAGAGCTGGCCTGCAAGGAGGCAATACCCAAGACAGAGCACAGGAGGAACTGCGACCCGTGCCTGCTCGACCGTGAAGTAGCTGGCCCGGTTGTCGTTTGGATGGCCGCCCCGGCAGACGCGGCCCTCGCCCCCGTCGACGGCCTCAAAGACGCCCTCAGGAGTGGGCACGCCTCAGGTGTCTGAAGCACTGGGACTCGGACTCGCTCGGTCTTGCACGCTTCTCCCATCTTCTCTCGTTCTCCCCATGCCAGATTGCTGTAACTAAGACAGGTGTAGTTCACGAGCGAGATAGAGGCATGGATTCCCTCCGGCCGCGTCCAGATTTCGCAGCGGCCACGCACCTTTGCCGCAAGCATACCGTTCTGTCAGAAACGAAGAGACCGCAAAGCAAGCCTGAGCTTGCAAAACGAAACAGGGAAGATGGGAAACATTGTGTAATGCCAAGAAGCATGATATTCGATACCCGTGCAACCGTCGGTCGACATGCACTGCGACTGGCAGCCCTGGCTTCGTAGAAGCTGCGAGTTGGACATGCGATCGTGCCGCTGAGTGTCTAGACAGTGGCAGATCCTGCATGTACCCTGCTGAAGCAAAGCTCGCGAGCCTCCAGAGTGTCGTCATTGCTGACCTTGCAGCATGCACGTCTTTGCAAAGCTAACAAAAGTGTCGTCGTCACCACAGAATGACGGACTCCGGCAATCTCATGCCTGAAAATAGTCAGCCGAATTGTCGCCCGGAGAGGCACCGCGGCAGGCGCGGTTCTGCCCTCGGCATTGCATGGGTCTGCATGGCTCTTGTGCTGTCCCGAAGACATCCCCAGTTCCAGCCTCCATCCACAGGGCGAAATGCACGCGAAGAGCCGGAAGCTGTTGTGGTAGTTGTCGTCATCATCGCCGTCGTTGTGGTCGTTGTCGTCATCATCGTGGTCGTTGTGGTCGCCGTTGTTGTGGTCGTAGTCGTTGTAGTTGTGGTCGTTGTCGTTGTAGTCGTCGTTGATGTTGTGGTGACAGGGCCTGTGATGGACAGCAAGGAAGCCCCGTGCCTATGGCACATGCAGGCCACATCATATGCAACTTGGCCACAGGTACAGCTTTCTGAAAAGAGGAAACACCTTTCTTGCTTCGGCTTACATGGCGCACCTGTATAGCGGAGGCAAGTGTAGCCCGAAAGAGACTTCGTGGCGCCGATGCCGCCGGCGCGGATCCAGACTTCGCACTTGCGGGAGCCCTCAGAGGGAAGCGCACTTCTAGACCAGGGCACACGGGATGCTACAGCGACGAACCAAGCAGTGACGGTTGAGAACGCCGTGAAGACCGCGCGATGTTACATAGTTACCGGTTCCGATTGCTGCAGATCTCGAGTTGGCTCCGAGGGTCATACTCAATGCCCTTGCAGCCGTCGGTGCCGATGCACAGCTGCTTGCACTCCTGGATAGAGTCAATGCCGTTGTGAAAGATGTAGTAGCCTCAGATCGAGGAGGCATCAAGCTTGGCACACCGAGGGGCTGTTGACCTCGTATGCCACGGCAGCACGCCGGAATGATTCAGGGAAGCTCGTGCCAGGCCAACTCTGAGGCAAAACACTGCTTCTGCTGACTGCCGCACGTGCCTGCTAAGGAGCTCTCGTCATTGTCGTTGGAGCTGGCACCGCGGCAAACGACATTCTGACCTTGGTTGTCGGTATCGTATCGAGAATCCAAAAATTGTGGATGGTTCGGCCCCTAACAAACATGAGCCGGAATCCCTGACACAGCCGCCACCTGCCTCCGTCCACCGGAACGAAGCTCCCTGCCGCAGCCTTGGAACAAGTCTCTCATGGCGAGCAGAGGCCAAAAGATCAGAGAGCTTCGAGGACCCAGCCGTCATCGTTGTGGTGGTCGTAGTCGTCACTGCAACAGTCGTTGTTGCTGTGGTCGCCTCCGATGTCGTCATAGGCATCGTAGTGGCTGCCGTCGTAGTAGCAGTGGCACCTGCAGCAGTTTGCTGCGACATTGCACGAAAGGATTGGGAAAATTTCGGGGGGCCTGGTGTGCTTGTAGTCGCAGGCTGCGTGGTTTGCCCCAAGATGTTGCAGCTCCTTAGCTCTGGGAAACAGCGGCCGGCGGCTTTCCTCTCGGCTCTTCGAGTTGCCGGGATGCCACGGAGTCTGATACTGTGGTTCGTCATTTGGGTTGATACCTGAACGAGGCTGATGGCAGAGACTCCATCAGAGCAGATTGGAGAGGTGCAAGACTCCCCTCAACCCCAGTTTTGACAGAGACCACCTAGCCAAGGCACATACAACGGCTGAAAGGATTGGAGTCCCGGGATAGGCTTTGAGGGCTGATTCGGGTGAAAATCGAGGCGCATACTTGATGTTGGAAGCAGCGTCTAGTTACAGAATCACGAAGCTAGTGCTACGGAAAAGGCTTCAGTCACCGTGAAGATAAGGAGCAACTGCTGCTGTTACGCTCGTGTTTCGCATCTAAGGTCGTCTGTCTACCTGTTGACTCGAATTTAAGCGTCCGGCCGCTGAGGGCTTCTTGCGATCCAGTGACAGTGGCGGCACTGGTAGAAGCAATCACGACTACGATAGTACTATCAAGAGACCTACTAGTCACAGCAATGAGCAATTACTGACCGTGGCTTTTGCACCCGCCATAATGCAGCAAAGCACCAGTCAGGGGCAACCAGAATCAATGGGAACTGTGTTTGCCAGCAGACGATACAGTAGCCGTTTATGCTTTGAGCGAAAGAGTCAGACTTCTCCAAGCAGCTCTATCCCGGCCTGGTGTGCAACTTTGTCGGCACTGTGCATAGTAGGTGTCCTTCTCGTAGCATGTCCAGCCGTTAGATTTGCAGCAAAGGCTCCTTACATGGGCGAGCCATGCAAGCTGTATGCTCTGCGAAGCTTTAGTGGCAAAAGGACGGTCGGATGCATTTTGGGTGTTGACTTGTCACAGCACTGGTCTCTCTCTACGGAGGTAGCTAGCTGGGTCCACGATCCGCATGCATCAGACGAGCATCGTCTTGCAGCCTGTCACACAAGCTTCGCTGCAAGCAGCACGATTCGGCTTTGTGGCTTGGAAGCTAGGGGCAGTGACGGCTCATGTGTGGATGTAATGACAGCGGGAAGCATGCAGCTTGAGAATACTTGCGTGCAAGCAGGCTCACCAACGGCAGAGCTGCTGTCCGCTACACACCTCTCCCCCATCAGGCCTCCAAAATTGTCGCTGCAGCCACTCACATCTCTGGAAGTTGTCGGGACTTCAGTAGTGCGGGACCACCTCAGAGGCTCTCTTCTCATGGGCACTCTCTCTCTCTCTCTCTTTCTCTCTTTCTCTCTCTCTCGCTCTCTCTGTCTCGCTCTCCCTCCCTCCTGTGCTGAGGATAGACCCTGTGCCTGTGCACCCCAACCTCAAGGACCCTGACAAGGCCAGGCCGAGTTCAACAAGCTCCTACTTAGCCCGCAATCGTCGAGCCACCGGCCCTAAATGCTTCCAAACGGCTCGGTGGTCGATTGGAAAGGCGTGGTCGAAATTGTGCTTCCATCGAGTGGCCTCGCTGAGCTTTTTGATATGGGAAGCAAACCTCTTCTTTTGGTTCCGGGAAGGAAAGGCGGGTATCAAGCGAAAGAACGGACCTAGGCCTCTGTGGGGTCTCCAGGTTACAGGGTATCAGCGCTCTGAGCCAATTTTAGTACTTTTTGGCCCCTCGGGGTTCTAAGCGACAGAGTCAGAGTGCAAACATCGGGCCAGGTCGCGCAGGCAGCTGCAATGCACCAACACTTCCAGATCGGCTGCTCGATATCTTGTATCGAAGGCCCTCAGCAACGGAGGAGGCTTCAAAGGTCCCGCATATTTGGGTTTCGGGTTTGGGGTCTACGGGGTGGAGGGTTTGACGTACGGAGCCTCTAAACTTTAGGGACTTTGCTCTGGGTGACTTTCGAACTCATCTCCGGTTTGCGATTCAGGGAAGTTGAAGGAGCTTCCGCAAAGCAAAGCGATGCAAAGCGCAGACTTACTCCGAAGGCTTCTTTTCGAGTGTCTTTAAACCCTTACTTGCAAAGTCCTGAAACTTCTCAACCCTAAAACTAAAACCCTATACCTCAGGCCGACAAGGCCCTAAACAAGGCATGTACGCCTTTCGCCGCCGCGCAAGGTATAACGTTTGCGTTTGGAAGGACATCGAACACATATGAATGCGGAATGGGTGAAAACACTGGCAGGCGCTGTGAATTCGAAATGTTGCATGCAGCGTGGCCACATTAGCATGCATAGAAAAGTGTGGCAGGCGTGGGTCAACAGGAATATTTGACAGACTTGTGTTTACGTACAACACTTGGTTGAAGACACAGCATCCATATAGAAAAAGCAGGAATTCATCGGCCTGCGTGGGGTTTCATGGCATTGGCCAAAATGTGGAATTTGGAGCAGAGTCTGTCTGGCAGACGACAGCGCAGTGCGAAACTGTGTAAAAGAAGAAGTAGGTGAAAAGTTGCTTTTAATTCTGATTTCAGGGGGTGACGTCCTTCCACTTCGGAGTCTGGCTTTCTTTCGGGTTTAAAGTTTAGGGTTGAGGTTGGGGGTTAAAGGGTTTGGGGTTTGCGGCTTAGGTTAAGGGTTCAGGATTTGGGCTTGAAGATGGCGGCTTTTTCTCGAGAACACTTGAGACGTCTTCACACACCTGCGGGGGCACGCTCCTGGTGTCCATTGCGCAGCAAACAGCTTCGGACATCTGTTGCATATGACCGCAGATGAGCCGGCAAGTCGGGCACCCCCCACCCGCCGACCCCACACTGTCAAAGTAACATGCCGACACGGGACATGAAAAAGGGCAGCGGAGCTCCGCTGACCTGGCGGAGCAATTGCCTTCTCAGAACCAGCCAAAACACCGACAAAACCATGCTTTTCGCCTCTGGATGAGCAACAACATAAGTAAACACAACGCGCAGGAGAACACTGTAAAAACCATAGGATTGGACCTGCCCGAAAAAAAAGCTTTCAGAAAACAAGCAAGAACACCGCAAATACCGTGCATTTCGCCTCTTCACGCGCCAAAACCCACGTAAATAGACACATTCCAGCAAGGGAAAGCACGGAAGGCCAACACGCCTGAGCAGTCCGCAGGCGCAGAAAACACTGTAAATACCACAGGATTCGACACTTCGCACGCAATTACCCTCCCCCCCAAACCCACCGCCGTGGAATCGCAGACCCTCCGCGGCGGCAAGAAGCGTACGTGCCCTAAACAAGCTAGGGACAGCGACTCCCTACAAGCACCCTCCACACCTTGAGCCCTAAACCGGTCAGGCACCCTCCTTGCCTTGCCGGCGTAGTATCGGTGCGAGTTCAACAGCTGCTTGACACCCACGAACTCAAAGTAGCCATTGTCGGCCTGTGGGGATACGTGTTCTTTACGATGGGATACCAGCTAAACTCTTCCAGCCACTCGCCTCAAATCAAATCCGACACAGTGCGCGCACTCTTGCGGCTTGTGGCTTCAGCTGGCACGCTCTCTTGGAAACATGTCCGAAGAGGGGATAAGCATACCACGTTCAGGGCTTCGAAGGGCCCGCCAAGGGGCATAGACGAACTTCAGGAAGAGTCGGCCCAAGCCTTTCAGATGAGTCCGACGGGTCGCTGTGGTTGAGAATATATTCAATAGTTGACTGTGAAGGTCTAAGGTCCGAATCGGCTTAGGGCCTACAGGGTGAAGTCTCACCAAACCTGTCTGTCCTTGTTCGTGCATCCGCTCTCTGATGGGTCTGGGGACACATATTAACGATTTCAAAGCACATGGTCCAACAGTCCTGCTTTAGAGTCTACGGTGATAACTATCCGAGCATCAACAGCCGCTCCCAATCTTGCCCTCCCTGTGCGCACCGTCCACAAAGAACACGTTTCCGTCCGTGGAGTCCAGCACTTCCTGCAAGGAAGAACCTGAACAGTGTCGAAAATAGTAGCTTGCAGTGGTCGCGCGTGTCAGCCGTAAGCACCTGCGCTACTAAGCTTCTTAAAGCACTGATGCCTCACGAGATATTTGCGAGTGGCTTTGGAACCAAGTGTTTCGCCCACAAGACTACGAGCGACTGAAATAGTACGAGCAAGAAGTCCCGGGCCGCTTGAACTGTTCTTCCTGTGCCGGTGAAGTTTTTTCAAGCTTCACCTGACGGACAACCGCTCCTCAAAGAAGAGAGCCCGTCCGCCTCTTGGCATGTTGGCGCAATTCGGAAAGCATCGCTGAACGGTGATGGAGGCACCTCGGCAGATGCGACATGATTGGGACTCCACACTCCCGATCAAGCCACTTTTCTACCAGAAGCAAGGTGCTGTTGCTGTCACCCCCTGCCCTGGGCCGCCGGCCCATTGGATAGGCCGTGGCGAGAACCAAACCTGCTCCAGGAAAAGAGCTGAAAAGGCAGAGCGTTGCTCCCAGGAGTCCACGGGCCTTGTGGGGGGATCTGGTCCATGGTGATGGTGAGCTGAGGCTCCGCGCCTGCAATTTTTTCTCGGAGCTCCAGGGGGCAACCCTGTCTTAGGTCGTCCCTGTCTTAGAGCTGGGCCATTGTCCAAGGCCAGGAACCACCCGACATCGCAGCAGGGCCCAGTGACCTGAAAACTGTGGCTTCCGAGACCCTTGGTCGGGAGAGCAGTGGCATACTGCGGCATACTTGCTGCATGCTGCTCCTGTCGTGTCCTTTCTGTGTCGACCAGGCAGTCCGGTGGGAGCCGCAAGTTTTGCGGAGTTTGCGTATCACACTCTACCGCTTCAAAGTGCTCAAAGCATATAAGCCCTTAACATCCCTTAACCCTCAGGCCTAGACCCCTTAGCCCGGACTCTAAACAGAGCGCCTCGGGCCTGGCCTGCCCATTCTCCACAAGCGTAATGGCGTGCTATGAGACGCCCCTGGACCCCTCCCATCTTTGGTGCAAGGGGCCATGGGGCTCTCGGCCAAGCCCAAGTCGATGTGGCGATCTTCGTCTGGGCACGTCGCCACACATTTCCGGAGAGGAATCTCTCTCTGGAGGCTGTTGAAGCTTTGTTTCATGACAACGACCTGACTAAACATGAGCCCAGCGTCGGCCGAAGTGGTAAACCTTGCCCACCTCAGAAGGCGCTCGCTCTTCTTTGTTGCATCCTGATGAATAATGCACTTGGGCGATTGCGTAGAAGCAGTCTCACCGAGGCATCTTATCTGTAGAAGGCACTTCCCGGCTTTTCCAGAAAGGGGCCTTTTAGGGTTTCATATACTAGAAAACACTTTGGTGATCCTACCCTCGACTCTGGCCCTGCCGATCTGTGCCGCCCAGGTGCGGCGGTTCTGGAATCCGTGCGGTCCGGATACCTGTCCTGGAGGCCCTTCATGAAGAACAAGCTCGCGATCGCCCTTGGGAAGCTGAGGGTTTCGGCTCAAAAACGGAAGGGCTCAGGTTCCCAGTCTGTCTAAGCAGACTGCCGGCCAGTACCGCAGAGGCCAAAAGTCCGAAAGGAATCGAATCATCTACGATACTGGTTTGCCGAAGTGACAAGGAGCACCCAGGATCTTCTCGAGCCACAAAACCCTAAAACATCCTAAAACCCTGAAGCTTCACAAAAGGATGCTAAATTGACTTATGCCTCTCATCCCCTACTTCGAAGCTTTATTACCCAGGGCTCGGGCCGATTGCCCTTCGTGGGGCAGATCCAGAAGCCCCAGTCAAAATTCCTTTGGCAGCCTTGAGGCACGCGGGGCAGCTGCAAAAAGCCAAGAACAGGAAAGATTGAGTAAGCGAATCCTGCTTTTCTGGGCATGCGCCAGAAACCACAACATCGGCGAGTTAGGAACCCCAGAAATCGCGAATGCGAGGCATGAAGGGGCCCTAGTCTCATGTGCTCATTCGTCGTGAGACTTCGCTGTCACTGTATCGGCAAGACTGTTGGCTTAATTGTGTACAGTTGTTCGGTTGCTGCTGTTGCTGATGTCTGTTGGGTGTGGCTTGTAACTTACTGCTTGGTTTTGTTGGCTGATTTGTTGCCTGGTTTCTTATTTGCTGTCCGTTCTGCTGTCTGTTGTCTGCTGCTTGTTAGTCGTTCCCAGTCCCTAACTTCGTACTCAGACGTGGCTTCATGAGTTCCGGGCGTAACGCTGCTCCTCCCCCTTGACACCCGCTCAACAGCTTTGCCGCAATAGGCCGGGATGCTGTCATCGATGCGCCACCAGTCATTCGTGCGATAGTTGGTTTCTGAATCCTGTGTCGATGCTTGGAACACCATGGCATTGCAAGCACGCCCGGTGCAGAGCCTAAGACTGCCAGGGTCCTCGTCATCTGCGCCGATGATCGCAGGCTCATTCCAACCGACCAAGGTCCCGTCGGTCTTGGCTTTGCGGTGAAACGCATCGGCTCCAGAGACCCTTTGAAATCACAGTGGGAAGCTTAAGGAAGACTGCAAACTTCTTCAAGCACTCATATCATCCTGAGCCGCATCAATCATATTGGCAACCTGCGAAGATCCAGCTGTCCCTGGGCAGAAGTCGCAGCGGTTCTTGCAGGTGTCCTGATGGAACCTGGGCAGTCGAGGACTGGCGTACTGGATCTCTCCAGTGGCCTTACCTCTACGTTTGGGCAAGTGGCGATGTGCAGGCGTATCGTTCGACATGACCTCGGCGCTTTCTCTAAGAAAGGCGTGGCCGACATTCCTTCGCGGAGGCTCCGAGTCTAGTCTTCTCTCTCAGGCTCCGGCGAAGGCGCTGCGCAAAGGGGGTGCCCTCGAAGTATTGGGCCCTCGTGTCAAACATTCCTGGAGAGCACTGACGAAGCGGTCTTCGGCTCGGCCTCTGGGCTTTTTTCTCTTTGGACAGAGTTCTCTACAGTCACTGCAGCTGAAAGCAATGCTCATGGGGTCCTGCAGGCTTGAAGATGTTGCTGTGAGTCATGTCCTCAGCTTTCAGTTGTATACTCTTCCAAGTCAAGATGCTTGAAGCTCGTCTTGCACGGGATTCCCGATCTTTGGGATGGAGTTTGCGAAGCCACAGCTGGACGAACTGCCGCATCCCGAGCCAAGCTACCATGATGGCCACATCGCCGGGTCGGTCGAAGTTTCGCCATGTCACCTGAAACGCTCGGGTCGTTGGAGATATGTTTCATGTTTGATGTATTTGGTTTCTGCGTGTGGCATACATACATCCATACATACATACATACATACATACACACATACATACATGCGTGCATTTACCTATAGTGCAAATGCGTTTACTGTTTCAGACATGGAAAGTTAAACAGTTAATGTATACTGGAAACCTTGAGAAATCAAAACCAGCCAGTTCTTCTCGTGGGCCCTCCCGTTAAGGCTCGCCTGGGAGAGGATGGTCTGCATGCCGGTGTCGTACCTGAAGCTTGAGGATTTGAGGGCATTTACGGGCATTTGGGGTTCAGACTTTTGAGTTCAGAAGGATTTGGCAGACCCCTCCATTGAAGAGATTTAGGAGTTTTTAAGGTTTGGGGTCATGAAGGCTGAGGAAGATTTTAGGGTTGAGTAAGTGTCAACCTTTAAGGTCCTGAAGGTGTCAGTGACAGGTTCATGCTTTCCATGTAAGCCCTGTCCCGAGGTGCAGCTCGAAGCCATCCGTGACCTTCGGCAGGTCTGTGGCGAAGGTATTGCCCGTGTGCGCGCTGACCACTGAGTTATACCTCAGTGCAGGGTTTTGAGGTGTTCGGCAGCCCGGAATTGAGGACTTCTTGGAGGCAGAGAGATGGCGAGAGAGGGTCGAGAGTCGCGGAGAGGGGCCGCCCAGGCACATGTAGTTGTCTCCCAGCATGGTGACCGCGCAAGAGATGTCGTGCGCCTCAAAGCCTGAGTGTCAGAATCCGAAGTTTTGACAAAAAGCTTCCGGGAGCCAAGGTGCCTTCCAAGCCCAGACCCGGCCAGCGGCCGCCGGAACCTGAGCTTGGCTCGTGACAGCCCCTCCAAGGGAAAGAAAACGCTATTTTGTTCCACACCGCCAAGTCGCCCCAGAAAAGGATGCCCTTCCGGCAAGCGAAAACCTGCCAGGAGAAGAAGACAAAGGCCGATTTTGGAACCCGCCAAGGCCGTGGCCTTGGTGTTTGTCCAGATGAAGCGGCCCTCCTTTCGCGTTGTTGTCCGTCCACTGGTGTAGCGGTACTCATGGGAACCCTTGTTGTCCTCCTCAGTCAATGCTGGCACACTTGCAACTGCAAGCCCGCATAGCTCGCTGAGGCTTGCTTCGGGAGAAGCGGCGGATGGGCTTACAAACAGACAGCAACCAGCAAGGGCCGTCACAAGAGCTGCGATCGCTGAGGGTCCCAGAGTTCGCCGCCGACATACATGCAGCCGCCGCGGCTCCACAGCCGCCCTGCCCCAGAGGTAATGTGCCACAAACGGAAGTCACATCTGTAAGTACAGCGAAACTTCTTTCATTTCAAACTTGTCGTGCTTTTCGCAACATAAAAGCAATCACTCAGTCGACACCCATCCGCCTGATGAATGCGCAGTGTTGGAATCAAACTCGCCCAGTTCCACCACATCCGGGTGGTAGTCCTGCATAATGCAGGAATCACACGGGCTCGGCAGCTCCTTGTCGCCGTAACTTCCGCCTGGTTCTGCGCATAGGTGTCGCCAAGGACATAGGGCACACGAGGAAAATGGAAGCCAGCAAAGCCACCGCCTGCAAGACTTCGCATGGTGAGTTTTTCGGCTAGGGAGGTGCAAACTCGTGTGTCTTGTGGTACTACAGCACAACTTGAGCTTACTTGCAGCTAACTTCGCACGACGCCCACTTGAGGATGGTCTGCCAGCTTCGTAAGTCTAGATCGCAATCAGGTGCGTCACCGGCACTCAAAAAAGACCGCCCCCGAGGCTGTTTGCAAGCAAGGCGCTCGCAGAGTTTCCGATCCATCGGTTCTTCGCATTGGTGCAGTAGAACCTGAGGCAAGCTCGCCGGCAGAGCAGACGGCCTTTCTCCTCTAGGGCACTAGATTCTACTTGCTACAAACCGCATTATGTATGATGTATGCTTCGACTCCCATACCTGATCCTCTTCAGCCAAGTCATGTACGGTTGGTTCTTGGGCGCCGCTTCCTATTGAGTCACCCGTGCAAGCAAGCAGCCCGACAGCTGTGGCATCCGTGGGCACGAGGCGGCTCGGCTGCGTGTTGATCCTCACACCGCCCTGGCCACCGCCCTGAGTTTTTGGGAGACGGCAGGCTTTGTTAAACACGAGGTCCGTCGAGCCGAGGAACTCCGTAGTCGTTGAGCTTGTCGATGATGAGGATAAAAGCTGCGAGGTTGAACTCGAAGAGGTTGTCCTCTTCCTGGGACACAAACTTATGACAAACTTCCGACTAAACGACGATTCAAGGCCGTGGCGCAGTACCAACAAGACCCTGATTTGCTGATGCCAAGTCTCAATGCCATCTTCAAGGTAGTAGGCGCTTCCCGAAATGTCGTAAGCCACGTTGCGCGACACTCTCGAGTTCGAGGTGCCGTGCACCTGGGACGGCAAGGGCGATTGCTTTCCGCGTGCGGCACTCGGATCGCTACGACAAGATCTTGATCACGACAGCTGTTACTGCCGTAATTACCCTTGTGGCTATAACTGTAGGCACCACCACCACCATGACTGATCCCAACAACCACTGTTCTATCGACTGACAAGAGCTGTGTTCACACTCGTGCACACCTAGCGGTATCATGATTGGAAGTGCGGTTGGTTTATGGGCATTACTGCCCGGATCTTGCCGGCCTGACTTCTGGTGCGACCTTCTTTGCGTGCAGCCGGGGACCCGATGTAAAACTTAGACTCTACGCAATAAGCACAGGTTTTGTCTTCGCCCAAGAAGCCCAACACATCCTTGGGCTCATCCGATTCCGTACGCTGTGCCGGCGCTTCTCGGAGCCTCATGGCTCTGCCAGCCTTTTATAGTAAACCTTTTCCTGAAAAACCTGAACCCGAAACCCTATGTACCCCGGAAGTGCGGGATTTATGAAAGGTTCTGAGGGGTATGTATGAATGAAACAAGGGACTGTGAAGGCGCGGAAAAAGCTGTGCTGCACGAGGCAGTCTTCGAAGAAGGACTCCCCATTCACCCGGCCCATGACGTGGAAGTGGAAGGGGTACCTGGCTCCAGAAACGAAAGGCTTTGGCTTCTCTTGCAGTTAACATGCCCTATAGAGGTTCAAGAAATCCTTCTTCACTTGCAGTAACCCTCATAGCAGCTTACGGTTTAGGGTTTGGGCTTCAGGCAAGCTCGCCGAAGCCGCCGGCCCATTTTGTTCTCCTGGCCCATCCGATAGGCCATGGCCCCAGCGATGCGGCACTGGGACCCAGGCATGCACATGATATGGCCGCCGTAACCTTGGAGAACTTGGCAAGTGCTTCTGACGATCCGGGCTCTGTCCGTTTTGGATAGCCACTTTCAAAGCTTCGAATTCTCTCCATCATTTTGAAGCAAATGCAGCTCAAGGAATTTTGGCCTCAAAATACCCTCAACTCTACTCCTTTCATCCTTGCATGCAGGCCCGTTGTTCCTGTTCCGGATATTGCTGTGGTTCCGACTCCGTGCGTGCTGCAAGACATGACATGGATCTTCGGCCGGGCATCGAGTGTTTTCGCTGGCCGCATCTCCTGCCCACCCAAACCCTCCAAGCCTATGAGCACCGAACGTCCATACAAACTGTATCAACTCCAGGCCGCGAAGCAGAATCACCCGTGCCGAACCCCCCCTGAAAACCCGGCAGGCTGCAACCATCTTCAGCTCCTTGGAAGGTGATCGTCCGAGAAAGTAGCGCAACTTCTGCAGCGTACCTCGGACGGGCAAGACGGAGGTTAAGACCCGGTAGCAAGAGAGCATCAACCCTCAACCATCGGTACGTAGCAAGACAAGCATGTCGCTTGTGTGGGACGGCCGTTTGCAGTCGTAAAACATAACTTGAAACTGCACTTCTAGACCCGAGATCGTAATCATGTGAATGCCCCTCACGAATAGAAATTCTTGAAAACGTTGTAGGCCGAAGCGGCTCCGGCCCACCATAGTGCCCGAACTGAAGGCCCTGAGTCAAGGTGATCTGGGAGCCGCTCACCTCGGATTTTGCAGGGCGTTTTGGGGAGCGTAGGATTTAGATTTTAAGGGATTTTTCAGGGTTTGGGGCCTTAAGCTTTTTTCTTGAAGTGGGAGGGGTCGAGCAGCATTTCCCTCTCTGTTTATTTTACGGCGAAAAGAGTTTAGGGGAGCAGGGTGGATGGTTTGGGTTTGGGGTCTTGGGGGTGTGGCGCTCGAGGGTGTAGGATGTCAGGAGTCTGACGGTAGCAACTACGCGATGCAAGCCCGCCACGGGAGACAGAGGAGGAGGTGACACGCGGGGTAGTCCGGGTAGCCGGAGGAAAAAATCGAAAGGGACCAGGAGCGGAAGTTGAAGAAGTCCCCGGGATCTTGCACGGAGAGACAGAGAGGGCGAGTGCTTTCCTGCATGGGCAGACGTCTCCCGGATCTCTGAAGTCATCCCCTTTCCAAGCAACTTCCCCAGTGTCTTTCAAGCTCGGCCAAAGTCTCGCCCTTGGGGCAGCTCCGAAACCCAGAAGAAATCGTTGCCTTCAAAGCCAAAGCCCTGACAGCGAGTGGCCGCCGCGATTTCCCGGACCTCGTTCTGGTGGTCGTTCTGACAACGGGCTCAAGCCAGCTTTCTGAGCAAAGAGACTTTGGCACGCGGTTGTGAGCTAAAGGCCAGCTTCGTTCTGGATTCTTGGGGCTTTGCTCTTAAAACACTTAAGCTGTCCGGATCGTCATCGATGTACGAGGTGGTCGTCAGCACCACCTTCTGCCCGACCATCCAGTCTACCTCGGATTTGACCGGCGACGCACTACGCATGGACATGAGTCGACATGAGTACAGCCATGAGAGAAGTGCTCCTGAAATGAAAGCTTCACAGCACAAACAAAGGCCTCGTCCGCCAGGGACAATTGAGTTGCACCCGGTGGAGCGCTGGCAGAGAGGCGGGTCCTTGGTAGGAGGCGGCAGTACACTTGCTGCAAGTTCAATCATTTGTGCCCGCCCCTCGCAGGAAGCTCAAGGAAGCAGCAGATGGCAGATGGTACTAACTCTCCGTATCCAAGTGCTGCGATCTGCACGAGCGTTGGACTTGAAACGAAGCTCTGAAGGAAACTCGCAACAATCTTGGAACCCAAGGCCCATGGCAGACAAGGTACCAGGTAGGCCAGTAGCGCTTTCCGTACACCTGTGGCATGTGACGTGATGCGAAACGTGAAGCTGGGCCTGAATTTGGGTTAACAAACGAACAGCCTCGGAATTATGGCAGCTATTGGGGTAGGGGAGACTGTGAGCACAACTCTGTCTGTGTGTGTACCCTCTCCAGCAAACCCAGGCGGCTTACTCTCGGTGTGGCCTCCAGGATACCACCGCCGCCCACAGTCAGGCCCTTGGTGTTCAAGGGATTCGTGGACCTGACACGCAACTTGCCACACAGGAAGAATGCGAAGAGCGCGCAGCAGGCCGGGCCTTGAGGACCTGTCGCCGGAGCCGGTGAAGGTCACCACCAGGCCTCCCGCTGTCCTCTCGGGCGGAGATCGGCTCGGGGCGGGTGGCCGCTCGCTCGGGTGGTCTGCTCGGATGCATCATCGACAAAGAATATGCAGTAGCCCGAATGCAACTCAAATGTGACTTTTGCAGATCCGAGTGTCAAGGGGCAGGTGGCCGATCCCAATCGTAGTGTGCCTCTCAGGGTGCTACGTCCGCTTTTTCGGCGCTGCACAGTGAACCCTGTGGGGTAAGTCTGCGGTCAGGACGCCTTACACTAACTTCGACCGTGTCAGTTCCTTCACGACACTTGTTCGGTACATGAATTCGCGGGCGCTGTGACGAAGGCCGTCTCTCGTGCTTGCATCCTCCAAAATCCTGCTGGTAGACATGGTGGTGGTGGTGGTGGTAGCGGCAGCTGCAGCGCTAGCTGCAGCGGCAGCAGTGGCAGTAGGAAAGCAGCAGCAGCAGTCGTCGTCGCCGCCGTCGTCGAAGTAGCAGTAGCAGCAGTAGCAGTGGTCGTCGTAGCAATTGCAGTGGTCGTCGTCACCGTCGTTGTGAGCAGGAGTACATAGACGAAATAGGAATGGCAATAGGCTTTTCAGAAAACACCGGGTTCTTGTCTCGTATACGTGGTAGCAAACCGCAATCGGTCATCTTTTGGGAAAATGCCTCTTGCAAATGCCTCGTACCTGCCAATTGGGCTATCATGGGCTGTCTGCTAGCGCGTGCCTGACCGGGTACGAGTGGCAATAGCGCTTCTCAACATCAAGGAATAGTCGCGGAAACAACGACAGAAATAGTACTGAAGGTAGTTAGTAGAAGGTGGAAGCAGTCGTGCAGGTGGTGGCCGGGGGTGAAGGGATGAAGGAAGCTTCAACGACGATATTCTCACACGCCCAGTGCATGGCATGTGAGAAGCTCGAAGGGCCATCCATCTTGGAACACCAGTTGATAATGTGATGTCCAACATGGACATAAATCTCTTGCCTCGAACGTAGATCGCCTGCGTTTCCAGCGACAGACCTGCCAGCCAAAGTGCAAGCCGACTGAGTCTGGCTGGACATGAAGCGCGACTTCAACACACATGCACAAAAAAAACAGCTTCTTGGCTGTACGAATGGCCGCATCATGCAGATAGCAGCGGCAAAACTGACACTACACACGCCGGACTAAAGAGACTGAGACCTGCCACATCGCCGATGATGAGTTCAGCTCCGCTGTTGATCGTGAGCGATCGGATTGTTGCTGAGGCGGAGAGAAGGTAGCGCCCACCTCGGCATCTTTAAAGGGAGCATCGCCGTGTGTGACAGGATGGTCCCCCCCCTTTCCTCTCCTCCGGCTCACGGCCGAGTCGCTGGAGATCGTGATGTCCCCCGACGTGCCTAAGTTGCTGAAGGGCGTGAGGCCGGCCTCCTGCACGGCCAAATTCTTCTCGGCCACAGTTCAACTGCAAGCATCCACATGTTCCTGCCTCTGCTCCCTTCGAAAGACCAGGAGGGGGCTTGGAAATTATGCCGCTGACAAGCTCTGTGTTTTGTCTTCAGAGCTCTGCTATACAGCAACTGTGGTCCTCGTGAGGACAGCCAGAAGGCTGACTCATCGTCATGGCACCTAGGACTGTCGCAGTCGTCTCCCTGAAACCCTCCTGCAGAGGACCGTCTGGGGCATCCACCGGCACCAGGCATCGTCTTTTGAATGGCAACCGGGGTGTAAGGCGTCATCTCGAGCTCCACCTTGCAGGGCACCGTAAGGACAGCCGCACCAAACGAGCTTTTTGTGGGTTTCATCCCAAGCCTCGCTCTTGCTGAGCTCAGGCTTCAGCTGAATCCTTGGGAGAGGCTGAAGAATTGCAGGCGATTCCTATTCTTATAAACTCAAAGTCCCAGTGCTGGGCAATGGGTCCCCGACATGCCTCTTTACCGTCCTTTGTGGAGGCCTGACGTCTGTGCCATCCGAGCATCATGGACAGGGACTTCGTGAGCTGTTTGGAAGGTCCTGAGGCGAGGTGGGAGATTTCTTATCCTTGGGAGGTTCTTTTTTTTGCAGGCTGTCCTACAAAGCAGGATGCAATGAAGCGGCTTTGTGCAATGTCAAAAGGAGACCAACCAAAGCCAAGGACTCCTACACTTGGGACCTTGACTACAGCTCCTTCTACGGTTCTGGGAAACTCTTGATGACAATGTAAGCAGAAGTCGCAAAGTAAATTTGACAACCTGCTACAGTAATTACCCTGGCCTGAGCTGAAGCTGCCCTGTTGCCAGGCCTTGGCTGTTCGGGTTCTGGTGCTTTCTCGGGCTCGAAGGAAAAAGCAGCCGTTCGGCAAACCCAACACAACTCAATTGCGTGCTTGTTTCAGAAACACATGGCAAAGATAGCAGAGACATGATGATAAGTATCCTGTCTCCATGCCAGCTGGGGCACTATGAACAGCCCGACAAGCACTGGCAGCAGCGCGTGGACCGGAATTTTCACCTAGCCACGGCAGACTGCTGAATCTTGTCGGGCGCTTTGCCACTCTACTCCTCTTTGAAAGAAACTCATCCTGCATGTCTGCTCTTTCGGGCTGCCGACAGTAAACCTGGGTAGGACATGTGGCCATTCTACACTTCCACTCTTGTTCTGTCACGGGAAGCCCACTATAGTCGGTCAGATTGCCATCGTCGGACGGAGGTCGATGGCGTGATGTGCGGGAAAGGGGAGGATTCAAATTTGGAGAGCTCACAGCTGCAATCATTGCTTTGCTTTGCGAGAACAATCTCTGCAGCAAGAAGTAACGGAAGCAACCATACAAGAGCTCCAAACGGCACTTTGCGATACCTTGAAGCAGCACTGCGAGAATTTTTGCTGAAAAGTACATCAGTGTCAGTCGTTTCTCCCTAGTTCGTCTCGTAGTTCTTTCTCAGCGGACTGCTAGCAGCAGCCACTCAGACCGCAATCCCGCGCCTCAAACAAAACCATGTAACTGCAACTGCACTTTAAGAACGTACCCCACGGCGGGGCCAATTCATCATGTTTTTCGGGTCTTGATTTAGGCACATTCCCCTGGCTGATCGGCATGTGGGGTTAGGTTGGGGCTCCGGTGTTGAAGGCATCTTAGTCTCAAACCCACGCAAGGATCTCTTTTTCCACGGAACAGAGAAGTCCTCCGTATTGGAGGCTCCCGGATCCGGGCTCGGGTCCTAGGTGCAAGGCTTCTGACAGCCGTCTTTTGACCGCTTCCAAAGAGCCATTTGGGCATCTTTCCAGGTCGACGCGGCAGTGACCTGACAAAGGCGTGGTAGTGATCCTCATGGCAGAATTCAATAGACAGCCTCACATTGAGAATCACGAATTCAGTGCCTGTTACGGTACGCACGGCGAAGAGTCGCATTACACCGAGCATACCCATAATCTTCTTTTTGAACCGACTCCTCCTTTTGATGTTGCTGCTGCTGCCATGCTACTGTTCCTATCGCCACGCATGTCAAACTGACGCCAGAACCATTGGTGCGCTTCTGGCCCTGGCTCTGACGGCTAGGGTCACAGTGCTTCTTTTCTTCTGATCGGTGTGCAACTTCTGTTTTCGCAACCGCTGCGAAGTTCATGCACCATAACGTCCCAAGACTGCCGACGCTCGAATGCGGATTCCTATCTCGATCCGTAAACAGGCCTCTGGGAAGGCCTCGGGATGCTTCCATCTGCCTTCATCCATCAGCCACTTCGTAGCGTAGTAACCTCAGCTCATTGGGGCTTTAGACAGAGTAGTTAGCAACAGTTAGTAACATCACTCCTTCGGGTTCCGAGTGGTAAGTTATGGTAACAATATAGCCCCAAACCCTGTTCTGATCGGCAGGCCCTTCGACAGAAGACAGGTCCGGGAATCTCTGGCCTTCCGCATCCAAGCAGCAATCTTCATGCGGCACCGAGTTGTGGCAATCTTCCTCACAAAAGCCCACTGCTAAGTCTAACAAAGGCAGTTCCAGCATGGTGCATGTGGGCCATGCCTCTTCAACCTCGTCGGTCAGCGTTTCGGAATCCTGGAAAGGCTGTCACACACACACACACAATGGCTGCAAGCGCCTCATCCATTGCCGCCGGCAAGATGTCACTGCTTTCTGCAGCCAAGTCGCATGGGGACAGGGCTTCTGGCAGCCGTCCTTGCCACGTTTCCAGAATGCCGTTTGGGCATCTTCCCAAGACGATTCGGGCGTAACCTGCCGAAAGCAGTCCGAGCGAACATTTGCAAACAGGAACGAGGTGTCACCCCGCATCCGCATTGTGCCGTGACGGGTATTGTATCTTGAACAACGTGCCAGGCCTCAGGAAAGGCCTCAGGGTGCTTGTATCTGCCTTCTTCCATCAACCATTTCGTGGCATAGAAGCCTCAGCTCACTCAGCTCACGGGGCCAAAGGCCAATTGCCCACCCAGAAAGCTTTGCCCATCTTTGCCTCACAAGCCCTCAACCTTAAATTCGCGAAGCTGCATTTCTCGGGCTCCACGGAGGTGTAGCAATCCTCCTTCGGGACCTCTTCCTCCTCTTTCTCCTCCTCCTTCTCCTGCTCTTCGGATTCCTGATCTTTCTGGGCTTCAGGTCGGGCTTAGAGTTTAGAGTTCAGGGCTTACGGGTTCGGGGTGTAGGGTTTGAGATGAAGGGGTTAGGTTGAGGCTTGCAAGTTTAGGGCCTTTCTCCTGATGCGAAGTAAATCGGAAACCTGCAACGCGCTCGGGCAGTGCTTGGCTGCATAGCTGCCTCTCTGCTTGGGGACATGTGCTCGCTTCCGGACTTCGTGTCTTTAATATCTTCTAGGATGTACACACGGCCCTAAGCTCTGAGCCCTGAACATCTCCAAACCTTACACACTACGCTCTGCAGCGCCCCGTCCCCTATGCCCAGATGCTGAGCTCATAAGGCACCGCTCCGAAAGGGATTCCCAGATACTAGTAGCAGTGGGTACGGCAAACATAGGGATATCCTGCAAAGTGTACTGAAGCATGCTGGGGCGAGCGCGAAGAGCCAATTGCAAGCATGAGACTGGTGCTCTCTTGCGATGGGATCCTTCATTCCCTAAACCTTTCGAGGCCACGAGGTGCAGAACAGTATCAGTATCTGCAAACTCGAGTGTGCATTGCGACCAGCCGCAACCGACTGAAGCCTTTCAGAGCTTTCGAAGACCTTACGCATAATAAGCTATGACACTGGATAAACACGGACGCCATGTCGCGTAAGGGTTATGTGCAAACACATCAGAATGCACAATAGCAACAATGCTCACCAAACTTTGCACCAAGTTCCCCGGAAAGACGCCCCAAACGGAGGATGGGAGGGGCCCTCGGGGCAGGGTGCACGGACCCCCTTATGAGTCCTGAACTCTACATATTAAAAAAATGAAAACCCCGAACCCCAAATCCGAAAGCCCCCTGCCCAATCCCTACAAACCCTAAATCCTTTCCAACATTCCCTAGATCTCAAATCAATCCCAAACCCTGTCTCACTACATCCTAAATCCGAAACCTTTTCTCCCAATCTTTGAGAAATTCCCTCCCAAAAAATAAGCTCCGGTCAAGCTGCTTCTGAGCAGGGCTTCTTGCAGCTGCCTTCTGAGCGCCGCCAGAGCGCTCTCTGCGCATCTTCGAAAGTGGAGTGTGCTGTGACCTACCAGGATCAGAGTTGCAATAACCAAGCACACCTTTATGTCCGCGTCTGGGGCTTTACTGGAGCTTAGCAGGGGTTACAGCCCTCTGATTCTGTTCGGATTTCGAGCAGGGACGATAAACAACGGTGAGATCATTCAGCGCGGATATCAGGAGGGCTGGAGTACAGTGTTTCAGCTGAGAACTGTGAACACAAACAGTTACAGCGAGATCGAAGAAAGCATTTGTGAATCTGTGCCTCGGGGAAGCTGTGGGGATGTTGCCATCTGCCTTCGTCCAGCAGCCACTTTGTAGAATAGTAGCCTCAGGTGGGAAAAATCAAGGAAGTCCCTTCGGGGTGGGTCGATATTAACTTTCCCAGATTCATGTGTTCTCAAATGCTCCTACGAAGCCTGTACACTCACCCTTAACAAACTCTCAAGCCGGAAACCTACTGTACCAATAATCGTAATGATAGGGATATAGTCATAGTCAGAGCAATACGACGAATGGAGCCGCAGTAGAGTCAGGAAGCAGTCATCTGGAGGGACTGCATTGTGACACTCTTCCTGCCGAACAAGCGAGTGTCGGTGTCAGGCTTTCTAGGCATGTCAGGATTGTGGGGCTTGGGCTCTGTAGGTTTGGGATCTGGAGTCATTAGGCTTAGCTTCAAGGGCCCCTTCAACTTTAAGGGGTTCAGAGCTTCGGGTTTTCGGGTTTGGATTGAACTTTGGCACAACCTGGGCTTCGGAGTATCCAACCCGCTGGATAATCTCAAACGTCTTGGATGTCCGTGCCTTGTCGATGTCGTCCGCAGATTCCTCGGGCTCTCTCTTTGCTTTGGACAGCGAAGCGGGCTGCACTCCTTCGCAAGCCCTAAACTCTTGCTGTCTGTAATTCACCAGGCAGCATGGGGACACGGCTTCTTGCAGCCGTCTTTGCCACGTTTCCAGAGTGCCTCTTGGGCATCTTCCCAAGATGACTCAGACGTAACCTGCCGAATAAAGCCGTAAGAACAGGGCAGCAGTCCTAGGAAATCATGCTTTGCAGGTTTCAACGAAGTGTCACCATGTGTCTGTGACAAACGTCTACCTTGATTAAGCGCCAACGCCTCCGAAAAGGCATCTGGATACTTGTATCTGCCCTCTTCCATGAGCCACTTTGTAGCATAGAAGCCTCAGCTCATGAGGGAAATAGCAATCATTTCTCACACAAGAAGTATTGCTCATCTTTGCCGGCGAAGGTGCATTTCTCGGGCTCCACCGACGTGTAGCAGTCCTCCTCAGGCTCAGGGACCTCTTCCTCCTTCTCCGGCTCTTGGGATTCCTCTTTCCGGGCTGGAACTGAGACTGGGGTGATCGTCTGGAAGCTGACACAAAGCAAGATCACGCCTCTTCAGCCTTCTGCGTTGTCGTCTCGGGTTCCTGTCGCAGAACTTTCAACTCGAGTTGCAGAAGGCTTTGGTGTTTTTTGGCGTTTGGCTGTAACGTTTTCCAGCCTGCGTCGTCTGCGGTTCCGGGGCGCAGGGCTTCTTGCAGCTACCCTCAGACCGTTTCCAGAGTGCTGCTTGAGCATCCTCCCAAGTCGAGTGGGCGGTGACCTGGCAGAGATTTCGGTTCCGGGTTTCGTCAGGCTTCAGCATGGGTTTCAGCATCAGGTGTTTTGGGGATTTCAGGTTGTAAAAACGATAGGTTTCCCCGCCTTCGGGCTTCGGGAGGCGTTTCGGGCGGCTTCGGCTTAGGGCTTCGACAGCTTGGGGCTTTCAATCCTTCGAAGGTCGCTGGTCGAGCCTCTGGGAAGGCATGCGGGTGTTGCCATCTGCCCTCATCCATCAACCACTTCGTGGCGTAGTAGCCTCAATTCGAGAGAGCGGTACTGCAACGCAAGTCTGTTCAGCTGCAGCCTTGCGCAGACAGGGAGCAGTCTTCAGGCGGAACGGAGCTGTGGCACTCCTCCTGAGCAGAAGCGCGTTCATGGAGGTGGTGGAAGGTACTGTTCTGGATTGTGGCCGTGCCTCCTTCTCTGGCTCCTCCTCTTCTGTCTCGGACTCGGATTCCTTCGCTTCGCATCTGCTGCGATGGGTCAAACAGACTCTGCCGTCAAGAAATACACCAAGACTCACGGCATTCTCGAGGCCGCTAGGCCTTGAGCCCTCACGGAATCCTCAAACCCTACATGTCATTAAACCTTGAATCCAAAACCCTAAGCCCCGAACCGTAAACCCCTGAAGCCCCAATGCCCTCAAATTTTAAGTCAGGCCACATGGGGGCAGGGCTTCTTGCAACCGTTCTTGGAACGCTTCCAGAGCGCCTCTTGGGCATCTTCCCAGGTCGATGACGCGGTGACCTGCCAGCTTCAGACTTCGTTTTGGTAGTGGAGAATGAGCCTATTAGCACTAGTCATGACAACAGTCGTAATGGTAATAGTGATAACAACTGATCGTCAAACCGATAGTAATGTGTGGTTTTGATTAATAAACCCCCCCCCTCCCCCCC